CTTTGTTTGTCTTTATTGACTGTAACCGTTGAAACATCTACCAACAAGAAAGGAAAAGAGTGCAATACAAACTTATATGCTTCGTGCTTGTCATGGCAACGGTTATCAGTTTTTTGTGATTCCATGTGTGTCCATGATCTGAAAAACAAATTGTAAATTCCAGGTCCTATCTTGGGCCAAATACACACATTTCAGTTTACCATTGTACATGAAGTTATGCTGGAATTCAATTTAGAGAGTAATGCGTAGTTTCTCCACTAGATGGAGGAATGTCACAACAAGTTCAAGGACTAATAAAAATGGAGTGAATTGAAAAAGTATTTTAAGTCACAGGTATTAGTTCAGGAAAACATGGAACCACTATACAGGGAGCCAAGAAATCCTTCAAATAATGAATGATATGGCATGAGAATGCTGATACAGATGAAATCAGGTTAATGTGGGGTCCTGCAGTAGCAGACTGGTCACACTGAGAACTGAGCCCTTGACACCATCTGTGTGTCACACCCTTTGGATTATCAGTCATGCAAAAATAGTGTGATTTCAAGGCTTAGAGTTTTGTTATGGGCAAAGAAAAAGATTAACATGTTTAAAGCTTTGCAGTCCAGAGCAACTTTTTCATAATCCTTTACACAAAAATCACAAAACAATTTCAGTTTGCTGCACTCTCATGAAAAAAATGAAAAATGAAAGGCAAAAAATAGGAAACAATTAAAAAGAGTGTGAGCTGACAGAAAAAGGCACGTCACTTACACACACTCAGATCAATATACGTTCATTTGCTATATAAAATAACAACTGCGTCTTTCTGAAATCTTTCTGAAAAAAGACACTGGCAGCAAACTGCCACTTCTTTGCACAGTGTAATCCAGGGAGACTTGTCTTTCCTTGTAATCTTAAAGGTCATACACTCTTTTGCCAAATCCCACACAACCTTGACCAGTCACCAGCTATTATCTGGCATAGATAACCACTTCACACACTTCGGTTATTTGCAGGTGCCCAAGTGCCAACACAGCGGTGCCTGTGTTGGCACTCGGGCACTTGCATGCAATCACCATTCACAAAGGCTGAACCTTGTCGTAAAGAGTGCGGGATCTCACATGCTTAAGCAAGTAAAGTAAATAATTCTGGTTTTTGAGTCAGCGAGAAAACACAAAGTCATCTTTAAGTCATCTGATTACTGGCATGATCACAGCAAGGTAGGGCAGGGTTAATAATGGTCAACACTATGTATGTATTGTATAAACTACTAATCACAATGACAATGTCTTAAACTGCTAAATCATTGTGATAAAGTCTGAGGAAAGTTCTGAAAGAAAGATGGAGAGAGTGGAATAGAGTGGTAAACTGGAGAGAATAGAGGTTGTTCTTTCTCGGCAGCTAAGTTTACCGGTGAAGGCCCCTCCCAGACGCAGACAAGAGATAGAGAATGCAGTCTCCTCCCTTGAAGAGAAATCATCCCTGGATTATATCTACAGCTTGGATTGAACAATTCTGGGTCAAATATTTCAAAATCTAAAATGTTTTTTATTGGATTTTAGACATTTTAAACATACATAAACACAGGTAAAATATTGACAGACAATAAGATTTAGACAAGACAAAAAAAGAGAAAAGAAACTGATTTCACACAAGTTAAATGACAGTAAATAAGGTAAATAATATTAAAAAAACACAAAGCGATCAGCTCCTCACAACAGCATTAAAAAGATTGTGTACCCTGATGTCCAAGAAAGTTCAGTAGTGTTCTCCACACTTTCTCAAATTCCTCTGCCTTACCTCTGGTTATATAAGTAAGTCTCTCCAGTACAACACTGGATGTCATCTCTTTCACCACACATCTATAGAAGGTACATCCATTGTTTTCCAAGATAATCATCCTCCTGGCCTGCAGGAGACCAAAGTCAATCAAAGTTGCCTGTTCTGATCTAGCAGTAAAGTTGTCTGGGTATATACCTAGTATACACAATTTTGTATAAGTTCTCATTAACCACTTTTATTGTAATCGCTCCATTCTTGTATTGATTGATTGTTTTTGAGCTTTTAAGCATGCCGTTTCCCAATCAGCCTTATATATATCTTCTTGTACATCTAGTCTCCAAACCTCTAGTCTGTCCATAATGGACTCCTTATCAAATGTTATGAAAGCCATGTAGAATAAAGAAATCTGGCCCCTCCCATTTAAGTTTGAAGGTATAAGATTTTCAAGATATGAAAGTGGTGGTGGTTCAGATAACCTCTGCTTATCAACTGACCGTATGAAATGTTTTACCTGTAAATATTTTTAAAAATCTTTTAAAATTCACACAGCTGATCAAATGTAAGAAAATTTCCATTCATATAAAGATCCTCCATTTTACATACACCCTTATTAGCCCAAATTCTATAACCACCATCCATTCTACCTGCCCTAAAATTTGTATTACCCCATATGGGGGAGAAGCGGGATATGGGAGGAGTATCTTAAATATACTGATGCGCTTTGTACCAGATGTCAATAGTGTTCTTAAGAAAAGGGTTCTTTGTTGTTCTTTTCAGGCTTTTGGAGTCTGCGGAATATAAATACAGATTTAATGAAGGATTTGGTATTAATGTTTGTTCAATGCTCACCCAGGACGGGAGAGTTTCTTTTGAAATGTAAAACATTACAGAGCGTAACTGGGCAGACCAATAATACAATTTCAGGTTTGGGAGTCTTAACCCTCCCCTGTAATAAGGCAGGTATAGCAGCCCAAGTCTCAGTCTGGGTTTTTGATCGTTCCAGAGGAATTTACTAAACATACTATTGAATTCATCAAAGAGCTTCTTTGGGAGCAGGAGAGGAAGTGACTGAAAAAGTTACAAAATGTTGGTAGTATGGTCATTTTGATCATGTTTATGCGGCCAATCATTGATATGGACAGTGTCATCCATCGATCTAATGTCTCCTTCACTTCATCCATTAATGGGTCATAGTTTGTTGGGACAACGTCATTAATTTCAGGGGTAATTTTAACACCAAGGTAAATGAGTCCATCCTTTGCATTAACATAGGGTTTTTTTATAACTGGATTCAATCTTTCCTCCTTGTTCAAAAATAGTATTGACGATTTTGAGTTGTTAATAGTATAGCTGGGGAATTGTCCAAACATCTCAATCTGTTTCATTAAGTTTGGGATACTAATGGATACATTTGTGAGAAAAATTATGATATCATCAGTGTATAAAGACATTTTATGTTGCCGCCCTCCAATCTGTATGCCCGACAGGCCCATGTGTGTTCTTATTGCCATAGCCAGGGGCTCTATGGCCAGTACGAACAGTATCCGTGACAGAGGACATCTCTGGCGAGTAGACCTTTCCAAAGTGAATGGTTTCGTAGCCACACCATTTGTTAAAATACTGGCTGTAGGACTTGTATATAGAGTTTTAATCCATTTAAGAAAGCTTTTTCCAAATCTCTGAATCTAGACAGGACATTAAATAAGTATGGCCATTCTATACGGTCAAAGGCCTGTCGTGCATCCAGCGATAGTACTGCTGTATCTTTAGTTTCAGATTTTTCATGATTTATGTTGAGAACCCTTCGAATATTGTGAAACCCATGAGATTTTTGTACAAAACCATTTCGATCATTAGGGATTATATGTGGGATATGAGAATTGAATCTCAAGGCGAGGGCTTTACAAAGGATTTTAATGTCCGCTCCAAGTAAACTTATTGGTCTATAGGGGGAGCACTCTAAAGGAGTTTTACCTGGTTTCAGGATCAGAGTTCTCATTGCCAGTCTTAAAGATCGTGGGAGAACCTCATCCCGATATGACTCATACATATTTAAAAGTGGAGTAAGTCATTTTTGTCGAAATGTCTTATAAGATTCAATTAGCAGACTGTCAGGTCCATGCACTTTACCGCTGTTGATGTTTTGGATAGCTTGTGATAACTCTTCAACTGTTAGGCCGTTATCTAACTCTTGTTTTACATCTTCTGTTAACGTTTGGAATTGTAACTGAGAAAGGAATTTGTCTTGCTCTTCTGAAGCTTGGGTGCATTGTGATTTATATAAATGTTTATAGAAGTCTCTGAGGCATCAACTGTTAGGTCTCCCAAAGAGTTGTTTATACTACTATTAATTGCTCTATCTGGTAGGGCAGGGTTAATAATGGTCAACACTATGTATGTATTGCATAAACTACTATTCACAAAGTCAATGCTTTAAACTTATCATTGTGATAAAGTCTGTGGAAAGTTCTGAAAGAAAGGTGGAGAGAGTCGGAAAGAGTGGTAAACTGGAAAAAGAGAGGGTGTTCTTTCTCGGCAGCTAAGCTTACCAGTAAAGGCCCCTCCCAGACACAGAGAAGAGATAGAGAATGCAGTCTCCTCCCTTCATGATAAATCATCCCTGGATTATATCTACAGCTTGGATTGAACAATTCTGGGTCAAATATTTCAAAATCAAAATTGCTTTTCCATTCAAATCTTGGATTACAAAATCGGACTTCCAGTCTTTGTAATGAATCAGGAGTTTTTAACAGAATTCAGACTTTTGGTAGGAAACAGGAAACTGCATCAGACAAGCCGCCTCTTATTCCCACAAATTGTCATTTTATCAATTTTATTACAGNTAGGTTAGAGAATGTGAATTCAGAATTTGTAGTATTTTTTCAATTAACATTATTTTTCTGGTATTTGTACATATGGTTTTTTGTATTTATACCTTTTACACTGGATCTGAATCATTGCTGCAAGCTTTGCCCCTGCTAAACCATTGCAATAAATATATAAATTAATGGAGAAGTTCTGGACATTACATTTATTCTCATTGTAATAGTACATGGATTACATTGGGGATTTCTGACAATTTACTGATTCTTAAGGGTTACCCTAGCCAACCATTTTTACACAGATCCTTAGGGCTTAACAAAGCACAGTGTAATACAGGGCCTATCGTCTTTCCTTGTAATCTCAAAGGTCATATACTCTTTTGCCAAATCCCACACAACCTTGACCAGTCACCAGCTATTATCTGGCATAGATAACCACTTCACACACTTCGGTTATTTGCAGGTGCCCAAGTGCCAACACAGCGGTGCCTGTGTTGGCACTCGGGCACTTGCATGCAATCACCTTTCACAAAGGCTGAACCTTGTCGTAAAGAGTGCGGGATCTCACATGCTTAAGCAAGTAAAGTAAATAATTCTGGTTTATAACACGCTTAAAGAAATTATTATTACATATGACCTGTTGTGTTGAGTAACTACTGTAATCAATGAAAAAATAATCATGTAGGATTTAAGAACGAAGCCTCTGGTAAAAAGGAATGATATGTAACCAGAAGTAAATGCCTTTAATAGTAATTAATGAAATGTGATATGAGTCAGCGAGAAAACACAAAGTCATCTTTAAGTCATCTGATTACTGGCATGATCACAGCAAGGTAGGGCAGGGTTAATAATGGTCAACACTATGAATGTATTGTATAAACTACTAATCACAATGACAATGTCTTAAACTGCTAAATCATTGTGATAAAGTCTGAGGAAAGTTCTGAAAGAAAGATGGAGAGAGTGGAATAGAGTGGTAAACTGGGGAGAATAGAGGTTGTTCTTTCTCGGCAGCTAAGCTTACCGGGGAAGGCCCCTCCCAGACGCAGACAAGAGATAGAGAATGCAGTCTCCTCCCTTCAAGATAAATCATCCCTGGATTATATCTACAGCTTGGATTGAACAATTCTGGGTCAAAAATGTCAAAATCAAATTGCTTTTCCATTCAAATCTTGGATTACCAAAATTGGACTTCCAGTCTTTCAACCAAATTCAGACTTTTGGTAGGAAACAGGAAATTGCATCAGCCAAGTCGCTTCCCATCCCATAAATTATCATGTTATCAATTTTATTACAGCATGCTGAAGTTTTATCTTTTATATTTTTACTCTTTACTTTTTAAATTTTTACACTGGATTTGAATCATTGCTGCAAGCTTTGCCCCTGCTAAACCATTGCAATAAATATATAAATTAATCGAAAGGTTGTGGACATTACATTTATGCTCAGTGTAATAGTAAATGGATTACATTGGGGATTTCTAACAATTTACTGAATCTTAAGGGTTACCCTAGCCAACCATTTTTACACAGATCCTTGGGGCTTAACAAAGCCATTAAACCAATTCCTAGCAACTTCCAAGTGCTGAGATTATGAAAGGAGAGTTGTCGTTAACAGGCGTGACTGAAATACAATTTTTCTCAGATTTAGAATAAATCAGTGGAAGCAGTGTAGTTGCTTGGGTAAAGACAGTTAGAAGCTAGGTGTGTCTCCTCGCCACCAGTTTAAACAAGTTTTCATGAATGTGAATCTTTTTGAGTAGATCTCTTAGGAGCCTGAGACTCTGACCCTTTAAACAGAGAGCTGGTCAAGAACTCCTGTACAGGGGTACACTAACAGCCTGAACTGGAGTTCAAACCAGAACCCTTCATGCTGTGAGGTGATGGTGCTAACGACTACCCTGTGCCACCCACATACACTGCTCAAAAGATCTTCTAAACATTTCAAATCAAAATCTTATGATGGAACAACGTTCAATGGAAACCAAAATCATTAACCCATTGAGGGCTGGATTCAAAATCATACCGAAAAACAAAGAAGAAAAATTAAATCACAGGGTGATGCAACTTGCGTAACTTTTATCACAGCAACTCAACCCTTCTACGGCCCTGTCCAGCTCTCCTTGTGTAACTGCCCGTCTCCTCCATGCTCTTGAGATTGTGCTGGGAAACACAGCAAACTTTCTTGCAACTGCACATATGAATGTGCCTTCCTGGAGGTGCTGGACTACCTGTGCAACCTGATCGGGCTGCAGATACTGCCTAATAATACCAGTAGTACCAAGGACACCAGCAGAACATAAAACTGGAGAAGACTCAGTCAGGAAGGGTAAAGTGAGAGCAGCAGTCTGTGGCCAGCACATGAAAAACCATCCCCTTTTTGGGGGTTGTCTTGATTTTGCTGCTCCATTGTACCTGTTATCACTTTAATTTGCACCAAAGCACATGAAACTGATTCATTATCACTTGTGCTTCCTAAATGGACAGATTGATATCCTTGAAAATGTACTGACTTGCTGTTATACTGTGACCATTAAGTGTTCCCTTCATTTTTTCGAGCAGTGATAACTCAGCAAGTAGAAATCTGGGCAAATGGTGGGAGCCACGAGCTTGTCACAGTGACCTTGACCTTTGACCTCCAGGGACCAAAATGTAATCAGTTCATCTTTGAATCAAAGTGAATATTTGTACGAAATTTGAGGAAATTCCGTTAAGGCATTCTTGAGGCATTGTGTAATGAATAAATTAGGGATATTTGCAATTTGCAGTGAGGTTGATTTTTTAAGATGATTGATGAACAATGGTGGCATAGTTCTCTGATTACTCCGTGAATATATTTTTTTACTCATAATCCTATCTTTACATTTGCAAACAACTTTTTGCACGCTTGTCTCTTATTCATATTTTGTCATCTCTATCTATCTTTCTATGCCTTTTTCTTATGTATTCCATATATAGACAAGACAATCATTTTTATGTTATTTGTTAAAATAAAATGTTGTTACTTGTACACAAATGCAGAAATCTCCCAAAAGGTGCCCTTACTTTTTCATCCCCACTAATCTCTCTCTTATCTGTGTAAACACATCTCGATACGTGATATGTGTGTACATAAGCATATTTACATATATCAAGTGTAATCATAGTTTCAGAAATAAATGAATATCCGAATATATGTGTCCTTCTCGCAGTTGGACGTGAGCCCTGCTCCCATTGGCTGGCCTCGTTGAGGGGTGGTTGGGTGGGGGTGGTTAGTGACAAGATAAAAAGGAGCAAATGCCTCCTGTCCTGCTTACACACACACACACACACACAGACAAACACACACAGATAAACACATTCAGCACGTGCCTGGCTGTTTGTCCGTCTGTTTGCCGACGCCAGAGGAACAGAAGAGGATCCAGCATCCAAACAGCAGAAGCTCTCACCTGAAATTGTGAGTGAATACACACACACACACACACACACACACACAGACACACACACACACACACACACACACACAAACATGTCTAATCCTATTGGAGATCATGAGAAGGATAAGGGCTCTGCCTCTAAAGAAGGGAACGAAACATGCAGGGTGAGACACTTGTTGAATGATCAGGCTCCAGTGCAAGAGTGAGGGGCAATGTTCAATAGTTCATGTGCCTTCTGAACAGCATGAGATTTATCTTTACAAGAATATGGTGAATGTGTTTTATACCTCGTTATAGAGCTGCAGCAGATTATTCTTTGATTTAAGTCATTTCTTTGTCAATCCGTAAACAGCCTATAAAGTGAAAGGAAACCAAGCGATGATCTGATCTATGTAACTTTTATGAATACAGTATTTTTTCAAAGAGCCTACTTTATTAAACTGTGAATAAGACCAATAAAATAAATGTTGAAAAAAGAGCTCAAACTCTGAACTGTGTAACCAGACAAAATATTTGAAAATGTAACCAGATCAGCCTTTATAATAATTGACACATTTCAGCATAATGTTAAAATGTGTTTTTACTGTTTTGAATGTCTGTATAACGTTTAGAAAAGTATCATTACCACAGCTGTTCAGAAGACAAATTCTCAGTGCAATCAATCTGTACTCTGTATTCTACATTTTCATACATCATAAAACACTCACCTCACTTAACATCATGAACCTGCTTAACTCTGCAACAAACATCCCATTCATACCGCTGAGATCAAGGGTTAAAAGTGTGTGTGTGTGTGTGTGTGTGTGTGTGTGCGTGTGTGTGTGTGTAATCCCTAATCTAACTGGTTAAAATAGCAACAAAGGACTATAGTGTTAGTGTGATATTTTTTCCCAGTCGGACCATGGATGCAACAGAGTTTCGTCGCAGAGGAAAGGAGATGGTGGACTATGTGGCCGACTACCTGGAGAACGTAGATCAGCGACCGGTCTACCCAGACTTGGAACCAGGGTATCTTCGTTCCTTGATCCCCAGTGAGGCTCCACTGGAGCCAGAGAGTTATGATGATATAATGAAAGATGTGGAGAGGGTCATTATGCCGGGGGTGAGTTATACTGATTTGCTGACGTACACAATGTTGTAGAGGATTTTTGGATCATTCTTGGAAAATAATAGTGTAGAGTTTACATGGCACTTTCTGTCAGGGAACCAACAATTGAAAAACATGATTGTATCATATTTGGAAGGAGACAGAAACGAATCAGCTGCTGAAGTCCCTTCCTTGGCTAATCATAAAATATTGACAAAGCAAGAAATGACATGAGTCACATGTTCAGCTCAATATGACTTTTTTCACTAATAAATCATGTCCCATGACCTAGATCGCTTTTCAGCAACGATAACCAGCGGCAGCTCATTTTCATCTTTTAATTTGTCTCAGCACAGGTTAACTTGGATTGAACAAGAATTTATACATCCACAGTGTCTTTAGTCAGTCAGTGACATTAACCTGCCTGATTTTTTAATCAAGATCCACAAAGTATTCTCTGAGAAATCTACTGAACTGCAGTATTTACTAACTCAATGAGCAGCATCTGATGCTGTGTGTGTCTATATTACACATCATGTGCTGTTCATGTTTTGTTCTGGAGATGATAATCAAATTCAATTAATCAGTTTCTTTCAGATTCGCTTGTGTGTTTAATATACACCCCCTCACTCCACAAGCCATGTTAATGTGAATTCGATGTGTAAACAACCCTTGGGTTGTGTGTGGAATGAGATCAAATTACCACATATGACAATCGGTGTTTGGGTGCCATTAATCTCAGACAAGATAAGTTGGCGGACATCGGTGACAAACAGTAAAGTATTAGGTCACTCGCTGATGAACAGAGGTGGTTGCTTTTGGAAACTCTTACTCTCTATTTTAAAATTGTGTGTGTATCACTCTGACCTGCAACACTCCAACGCATCCATTCCAACACCAGGAAGGAATTAGATAACTGTTAATAGTATTGTCAGTGTCCACCTGTTCCCAATGGAGAGCTAGAGTTTCATTCAAATGATGTGTGTCTCCAGGTGACCCACTGGCACAGCCCGTACTTCTTCGCCTACTTCCCAGCTGCTTCCTCTTTCCCCGCCATGTTGGCCGACATGCTGTGTGGAGCCATTGGCTGCATTGGATTCTCCTGGGTAACACTTGGTCTCTGCGTCAGACTGTGTGCATCCTCAATTCAGTTCTACAACAAATGCAAACAGAGACATTTTTGAGATGTTTGTGTGTTTTGTGTGTTTTGGGTGTGTGTGTGTGTATTCAGGCTGCCAGTCCGGCCTGCACAGAGCTGGAGACAGTGATGTTAGATTGGCTCGGCAGGATGCTGCAGCTGCCTGAGTGTTTCTTTGCCGGAACTCACGGTCATGGAGGAGGTGTCATCCAAGTGAGTGTCGTCTCACTGCGACTTTTCTTTGACATATCTATAATTTCTCTGATGTACTGACTCGCCAGCCCTGACATGCAGAAAAACAAAGGCGTTTATATGAGCTCACAACTCAGTGAGTATTCATCAGCAATTTGTGTACTATGGATTTGTTGTTTCTTTCTGTTCCTGCTTCACACCAGCTGCACATTGGCAGGAAATTGCCTTTTAATATGTCATCCACAGGCAGACAGAGGACGCTGATGGTGCTGGGATTGTTTTGTGTGGCAAAAGGCTAAGAATTCATTTAGTGTTCCACTGATGGCAACAGTATTTATATATATGTGTGTGTGTGTGTGTGTCTGTGTGTGTGTGAGTGTGTGTGTGGGGGGGGAATAGTGGAGCATGAGTGTGCACTCTGATGACAGATCATTCATATCTCCTCTATTGTGACCACCTGAGTGAGGTGTGTGTGTGTGTGTGTGTGTGTGTGTGTGTGTGTGTGTGTGTGTGTG